GGGCGGCGGCAAGCGGCGCGAGGGCGCGGCCGCCGCGCCGGATGGCGGCCCGCGGTCGCCGCCCGACGTGGGCGCAGGCGGCGGCGCCGGCGCGGTCAACGAAGGGGATTGACCATGCAATGCGCGGGCGCGGGTGCGGGCGCGGCGCTGCCTGCGCCTGCCCCTCTCCACGAGCATGTGGACTGTTTTTGATGGCGCCGGGCCCGGCGCCTGAGTATTGCGCGTCTTTGTTTCGCGGATCGCTGCGCCTTTCCGCACCGGGCGCCGTGGCCGCGCTTCCTTTCCTCATACCCGCTGTGTGACGCCGCGGCGGCGGCGCCGCCGCCCCTGCGCCGACGACGCCTCTTGACGGCGGGCGGCGTTCGCGGCCCATTTCGTGCACCCTCCACCGCCTGTTGCGCAGTGCGGCCGCGCGCTCTCCGGCGGACAGCCCATCCCTCTCGGCCGCCCGGGTTTTGGGCAGCCCCGGGTTGCGTTTTGGGCAGCGGGCTGGGCGGGCGCTCGAGGGATGCTGAGCCGAGGAATGGTTAGAAGGGAGGGGATTGTCTGAGGGCATGCATCGGCCCGCTTTGTACGGGGACACGAAAGGTTTACGCAAGTACCAACACCCTCCGCGATTCTGCGCTGCGGGCGGCATACGCTCCATACGCCGCTCCCGCCACGAAACGTTTTTACGGACATACGTTCCACACAAACCCGCTATTGCGCCTTCCTTGCACCACCCCCCCTTGTCAAATCCTCTCCCTCGCGCCTGCCGGCCGGGGGCCCGCCGCCCGCCCCGCGCGCCGGCGGCACAAGCACTGCCGTGACGGCGGCCGGCCGCTCCCGCCGCGCCGAGACCGACACACTGACAGGACGCCCTGACAGACTGACAGCTGCCCTTTGCATGCGGCACCGCCTTTGTAAGACAACGCAATCATGACCGTGCTCTCCCTGTGGCTGTGAACCACCAAAATTGTGTTGTTGGCTTGCAGGCACATGCTGGCAGGGGCTGCTATGTGTGGCGAGGGCGGACGGCAGCACGCACAGCTCCAGCACAGCCAGGGGCGGAGTATGGTTGGCGGCACCGAGTGCCGTCGCAGGCACGCGGGGGGCCCAGCAGCGCAGCTGTGCAGGCTGTGATGGTGGTTGCATAGCTGGCCGTAATGTAAGCGAGCTTGGGTGCGCCATTTGGCCCGAAGCGAAGTTAGGCGGTCACCGCTGGGTTTGTGGAGCACCACCTGCAATGCTGCTGAGTGTGCAGAAACACCAGGATCAGCCGGAGGGCGTCGGTTTACCAAGGGGCTAGCACGTGTGAAGTGGAGCGTTTGCATGCGTGTGCGTCAGCGTGTGTGTGGGGGGGGGGGGGGAGGGGTACGCTCGCGCGCGGATGGTGCCTTGGTGTCCTCCCTGCGCGACGGGCGCAAGTGAAGTGACAGCGCCAGCGTGGCGGCAGCCCCAGCTTGCTGTGGGCATCTCATACGCCTGACGACCGCCTGTCAGGCTGGCCTGGCCCTACTACAGGCTCCCCCCCCCCAAAAATTTCCCGCCCTGAGGCGTCCCTGCCCCACGTGCTTGTGCTGCGAAGCCACTCCTGGCGTGCGGGCTCCTGTGGTGCCTTCTAGATGTGGAGTTGTGGCGCTATGCGTTACACCCTCCTCCGGACACCGCCCCGGTCGCAATCACAGGTGTGCGGCGACCCTTTTCCTTTCGCAACGCCTGGTGTGCGCTACGTCAGCCAGTGTGTGCCGCCTGCCGCCCCTCCCTGTTCTCCCGCGACCACAGAACCCTGCTCTTTCCCCCCGCCTCCCCTGAAAGATATCCCGTTCCTCCCCGAACAAAAAGCGCCGCCAGCCACCCAGGCACTGCACAACACGACTGGCGGCACAAGCGCGGGCCCAACGAGCAGGCGCAACGTGCGAGCCGCCGCGGGGCTGGCACACCAAACGGCGACGAAAGACGCGGCCGCGGCACACGGGGCCGAATGCGCGTGGTTGTGCGCGGGGGGCGACGCGCCTGTTTTGTCAAACGTCAAATTGCGGAGGCAGCGGCGTGTGACTGAGCCCGCCGCCGCTCGGCAGGCCACCAAGAATGCCCGCGCCGCGGCCGCCCGGCCGAGCGCTCTCACGGGCGGCGCGGCGCGGCGCGGAGCACGCCCAGCGCCCGAACCCATTCCGCCCCTCAGGGCAAATTCCCAGGTGTGGCCCTGCCCTGCCCTCCATCCCCTGCCCTACCCTGCCTTCGCAGCCCGACCCCCCTCCACCCCAGCGGCCTCAGATTCAAGGAATGTCCGGGGCGACCCACCACCACAACACGTCACGATGAGTTGTCGACAAAAACAGGGCGAAACAGCACACAAGACAGACCAGCTGTGACGAAAGCACAAGCGGCAGCGAGATCGCCGCTCGACAACGGGTTGAGGGCGGAACGCGAGCGGTCACGGCCCACGCGGCGCGGGGCGCGGCCGGGGGCGCCAGCTCGCATGCGGGGCCGCGGGCGCGCCCGGCCCGCGCGCTGGGCGGCGGGCGAAACAGCCAGGCGTTTCCATCGTTTGGAGGGGCGTGTTGGGGGTGCGAGGAGCGAGCGATTCGACCAAGTTCAGGGTCTGAGGGGCCGTCCTTTGAGGCCATATACCCTTGAAGGCGATTGAAAGGAAGAAGGCGCCCGGCTTTGCGCCGCGCTGGACGCCCATTCCCTGCCGCGGCGCGGCGCCGAGGGACGGCGACGCGGGACCCTCAGAGCGGGCGCGCGAGCGAGGCAGCGCAGCAGCAGCGGCGGCGGCGCCGGGGATTTCACGCGGGCACCGCAGGGCGCCGCCCTTGGGCTGCGGCGGGGCGCCGCGGGCTGCGGAGCCGCCGGGCTGGGTGCGGGCGCGGGTGCGGGTGCGGGCGGGCGAGGAAAACGAGCCGCTTTGCTGCCTCCCGTTTGTGTTGCCGGGGACGGGGTTGGTGGCCGGCGCCCCACCCCTCTCGCCGCCGCGCTGGGCGGGGCAGCGCGGCCTGCATTCAGGCGGCAGGGCGGGCGCAGGGGCGGGGCCGCACCGCCCTTTACGGCGGCCGCCGCGGAGCGCGGCGGGCCGGCGGGCCGGCGGCTGGGGTTGGCTGCACGTGGGGCCCGCCCGTTTGGGTTGGTTGAGCCCGGGTGAAGAAAGTGGCAAAGCCGGCACGACACACAAATCGACGCACGGCGGACATGCGCGGCCGCAGGCCCGGCTCGCGGCCGCTTGCACACCCGGACGGCTGCAGTGGCGCGCGCCCAGAGGCCTGCCGCGACTTTTGGACAGACGCTGCTTGGCTTGGTGTGTGAATCGAGCGCGGGCACGCGGGCACGCAGACTCTGGGAGCCCGCACAGGCTTGTTGGGCGGGCGCGCCAGCGGATTGGCGGGGCCGCGCGGCCGCGGCGGCGGGGCGGGCGGCTCGCCTCGTCTCCAGGAGCGCGGTCGAGGGTGCATGCGCCGCGCGCCGCGCCGCGGGTGGCGGCGTTGTGATTCCGGGTCAGCAGGCTAATCCGAGGTCAGCGGGTCAAGAGGGCGCGACGACTGGGACAACAGCAAAGCGACAGAGAGAAGAAAGAGAGGCACAGACACATGCGCACATAAAACAGCCGGAGGCGCGGACGGCGGCAGCGCGCGGGCTCCTCCGGCGGTTGCACCGCCGGGCCGGCCGCGGGCACAGCTGTGGCAGGCCGGCTGCGGCTGAAGGGCGGCCGCTTGGCTTGGAAAGGTGGGTGCCCGCGAACAATCGCCGTACACCGCGCGCCCGCCCCGGTAAAGCCTCTACCAAGGGAGGCGCGCCGAGTGCCGCGTGTGCTGACTCGGGGCAAGCCGGAGGCGTGCGAAGCACGCGGAGAGGCGCGCGAGTGCAGGGCGGTGCGGCGCGGCGCAGGAGGAGGCCAGCCGCACCCCCGCCCGCCGCCGCCGCTTCCAGGAGTTGCGCGCGTTGGTCAGCGGGACTTTGACTGACGGGGCCACCCCGAGCAGAATTGCGCAGGCGGCCCCCAAAACAGCGCAAGCACGAGGCTCGAGACGCGCACCCACGCACGCGCACTTCGGCCGCGCCGGCCGCGGCCGCGCTGCCAGCGCGGCCCGGGCGGGGCGCGCGGGAGCACCGCTGAGTGGCGTCGGAGGTCAAAGCATGCGGGGCAGCAATGGGCGCCCACAACGGGAGTCAAAGGGGATGAAGGGTGTGCAATGAATGCAATATTTACGCAATCGCCTGCCTATATGTGTCCCGTCCAAATGCTGGAGGGGGCGCCCGCCCCCAACAAAGCGAGGGCAGAGAGTCGCAGGCCGCAAGATACGAGGCTTGGGGGGTGGATGGCCGCTGCTAGCCGCAGCCTGCAGACGGCAGTGCGGGCCACGCGAGCCGTCAAACAAACAGCTGAGCGGCGGATGCTGCAATCGACGAGGGGGCCGCGCGCGCGTCTCTTCGGGCGCACGCGAGCTGGGAGCAGGGAGCTGTCTGTATTTCGGCAAGGCGCCGGGCGCGGCCCATCGGGCGGCCCGCCGCGCCGCATCCTGCGGCGCCCCCGATCGCGCCGGCTGGCCGGCGGGGGCGGTGCTTATGCGCAGTAGAGCTTCTCTTCGATGTGGGGCGGGATGGGCTTGATCTCCGTGCCCAACTCCTGCTCGATGCGGTACCTGGAAGACGGAGAGACAGTGTGGTGTGTAAGTGTATGGGTGATGTGTGTGTATGTGTGTGTTTGTGTGTGCTGCTCAGTGTGGTGTGTCGAGTGCGTGGCATGTGTGCAGCGTGCGTGGTGTCGATTGTAAAGTTTCGAATGCATGTGGTCAGCGTTGAGAGC